TCCCCAGCCTACGCGATCCCCAGGGGTTTGCTGCTGGAGATGGATTTTTTGAAAGAGGGAGAGTGACGGTGAGAGGGAGAGTGACGGTGAGAGGGAGGGAGGGAGATTTGAGTGAGAGGAGATTGGAGTTTCGGGTGTTGAGTGAGAGGAGATTGGCGTTTCGCGTGTTTTGTGATTTTCAGTGGGTTTGAGAACAAATTTTACAAAACGATGTTTCCCTTGTTTTCCATTTTCAGTTACATTTTTTTTATCATTTTTCAAAACACGTTTTTGAAAATAAGATAGAGAACGCGTTTTCATTGTTTTAAGAAATTAAAAACAGAAAATGGCTGGAAAACGACAAAGAGAACATGGCCTCATTTTTTCAAAACTCATTTTCAACTACACATTCTTTAATAAAATAATATTGCACGTAAATTCGAAATATTTCCTTATTTTTTAACCACATATTTTCCATCAAATCACTATTTTAAATGCATTCTCCACTCAATAATGTGCGTCATAGTGAATCTTCTTTCAGTTATGTGTTATTTTATAAGTTGACTTTTGAAACTAATAATGAATATATTATTCTTTTGAAAGATAATTAATCAATTTCAGACTCACAAGATCTAGAAAAAGTGAATAAAATGGATACTCTTATGCCATTTTGGGTTGTCGAGGATCACAAGTTGTTCTCCACTCGAGCTAGATCCTGCGGGAAAATTGTAATTGTGTTCGGTGGAGCAGCAGACCTTCACGCAGGCACAAATTGCTCTTAAGTTGAGAGTTTTGGGGATTTGCACGAAGTTTGAGCCCTAAAGCCAAGCATATATATTGGGCAACTCATTTAGATTCCAAGACAAATTATTGAGGAAAACACCAATGTGTTTTAATCCATCTTTTATAGAAATATAAGAAAGTCATATGTGAATATATATTCAATTCCACTCGAGAGAGATTATTGAAAAATAGAACATTGATAGGAAAAATTAAAAAATAATAATAAAATCTTGTCATGGTCTTGAGTGTGTTAAAATGAATTAATAAATGGGGATTCGAAGTCTTAGTGCTTGACAAATTAGTTTTAACAATTTAGTTATAAAATAAACAAATCATAGCTTGGCAATTCGAATAGAGTTCATATTAATTATAACTAGATTAAGTAATTGGTTCTCAAGGAAAAGATACTTTATTCACTACTTTACAAGTGGCTATGATACCGTACCCTTGCGAAATTTTAGCGATCCATTACTGAATGAAAATATTTAGTTATTAGTTAATTATAATTATAATTTGAATTTTTATTGTTTTATTT